CAGCTGTATATAAAGAAATCTTTTATTAATAAATAAATAATTAATTAAATTAATTACATTAATTTAATTTAAAGAAAAAAATAAAAAAAGAAAAAAAATGCAGCAAGATTTGTTTCTGCTGCTGTTGCTGCTGTTGCTGCTGTTGCTGCTGTTGTTGCTGCTGCTGCTGCAGCTTGAGGTGTACCTGCAGCTATTATTGTTGTTTTATACAAAAGAAGAATAAAATAAATAAAAAGAAAAAACAAAAAAAAAATAATTTTTAATTCCTTATACCCACCTGCTGCTGCTGTTGCTGCTGCTGCTGCTGTTGCTGCTGCTGTTGCTGCAGCAGCAGCAACAACAGATCGAGGGGGCCCCCAATAGTACCCTACGAGGCCCCCCTGTGGGGTATAAATTGTCTTCTCTTTTCCTCCTTTTTTTATATTCTTTTTGTTTATTTTTATTTATTTTTTTCTTCTTTTGTCTATACACCCAATTATAACACCGGCAGACGCTGATCTAAACCCTAAACCCTAATACCAAGTAAACCCTAAACCCTAAACCCTAAACCCTAAAACCCTAAACCCTAAACCCTAAACCCTAAACCCTAGATGGAGTTTATTTTGCATTTTTTCTTATTTTGTATTAGCAACTCATTCGCATAGAGAGGCAACAGAAGGACCCCTTGCATCTCCTCCTAGGGTTTAGGGTTTAGGGTTTAGGGTTTAGGGTTTAGGGTTTAGGGTTTTGGGGGTTTAGGGTTTTTGGGGATTTTTAGGGTTTATATTCCTTAATTACTTTCACCAAATATTTTCATTTACAACAATTTATTCATATTTGTGAAAAGGGTTTAGGGTTTAGGGTTTAGGGTTTATGTATTTTTAGGGTTTAGGGTTTAGGGTTTAGGGTTTAGGGTTTATGTATATTTTTTTTTTAGGGTTTATAACGGTGGATATTTCTCCTTCTTATATTGAAGAAAAACTTCGTGATATTCTTATAAACCCTATTGAGGTTAAGGCACCAAATAAGTAAACTTTTTTTTTTTTTTTAATCCTTTTCTTACTTCTTTTTCCTTTTTTTCTTCTTTTCTTTTCTATTATTACTTTTATTATTCTTTAAATCTTTATTTTATTCCTTTTATTCTTTTTTTATTTTTTTTATTTTTTTTCTTTTTTTTTGTTTTTTTTTTGCTTTTTTTTTCTACATATATATACATATATATATACATATATACATATTTATACATGTATTTATATAATTAATTACCTAATTAACCAATAAACTAATTAATTAATTAATTAATTAATTAAATATAAATATATTTATTTATTTATTTATTTATTTATTTATTTATTTATAGATTAAAAGTATTGGTAGATTTTTCATCACCAAATGTTGCAAAAGAAATGCACGTCGGTCATCTACGATCAACTATTATTGGAGAATCTATTTGTTAGTCCTGCTGCTGCTGCTGCTGCTGCTGCTGCTGCTGCTGCTGCTGCTGCTGCTGGTGACCCATTAGCTCGTCGTCTATGGGTATCAATATGTGACGTAAGTAGGGAAGAATTTACAAAAGTTTATTCACGATTAAATATTTATTTAAGGGAGATGGGGGAATCTGCATATAATGATATGATTCCTGGTGTTATTAAGGAATTAGAGGATAAAGGGTATGTCTTTTTCTCCCTTTTTTTTATCTCCTTTATTCTCTACTTTATTCTCTCTCTTTTTCTCTCTTTTTTTCTCTCTTTTTCTCTCTTTTTTTCTCTCTTTTTTTTCTCTCTTTTTTGTCCTCTTTTCTGTTCTTGTATTCATATTTTTCCTTATGTTATTAAAGAATTTAATTCTAAAGGGGACCTCTTTTTTCTCCCCTTTTTTGTCTCCTTTTTTGTCTCCTTTTTTGTCTCCTTTATTGTCTCCTTTATTGTCTCCTTTATTCTCTCCTTTATTGTCTCCTTTATTGTCTCCTTTTTTCTGTCTCTTTTTTGTGTTTTTTTTGCTGTTTTTTTTTGTCTCTTTTATGTGCTTATAATGATATAATTCCTTATGTTATTAAGGAATTAGGAGATAAAGGGTACATCTTTTTCTCCCTTTTTTTTGTCTCTTTTCTTTCCTTTATTGTCTCCTTTATTGTCTTTTTTATTGTCTCCTTTATTGTCTCCTTTATTGTCTCCTTTTTTCTGTCTTTTTTGCTGTTTATTTGTCTATTTTATTGCCTTTTATGTGTATATAATGATTCATTATGTTATTAAGGAATTAGAGGATAAAAGGGACGTCTTTTTTGTCCCTTTTTTTGTCTCCTTTTTTGTCTCCTTTTTTGTCTCTTTTTTTGTCTCCTTTATTCCTTTTATTGTCTTTTCTTTATTCTGTCTCTTTTTGTGTCTCTTTTGGTGTCTCCTTAGTGTCTCTTTTATTATTTATTATTATTATTTTTTTTTTTTATACAACAACAACTACAACTCCTGCTGCTGCTGCTGCTGCTGTTGCTGCTGCTGCTGCTGCTGCTGCTGTTGCTGCCGCTGCTGCTGCTGCTGCAGTTTATTAAAGGAGAGTGATGGTGCAAAATGTTTATTTACACCAATTAATGATGTCCCCTTAATGGCAGTAAAAAGGGACGGAGGGTTTGGCTATGATTCTACAGATCTTGCATCTATTAGGCACAGGTAATTATATTTATTTATTTATTTATTTATTTATTTATTTATTTATTTATTTATTTATATTTATTAATTATATTTAATTGTATTTATTTATATTTATTTTTATTTACTTTTTTTTTGTTTATTTTGTTTATTGAGGGTTTGGTTATGATTCTACAGATCTTGTTTTATTTATTTTATTTATTTATTTATTTATTTATATTTATTTATTTATTTATTTATATTTATTTATTTATTTATTTATTTATTTATTTATTTTATTTATATACAGACTTGTAGATTGTAAGAATGATTGGTTAATATATATAACAGACATGGGGCAAGAAGAACATTTCCTTAAATTATTTAAGGCAGCAGAAATGGCTGGTGAGCCCTAAACCCTAAACCCTAAACCCTAAACCCTAGATGGTTTTTGTTTATTCTCCTATTACTCCTTTAGGGTTTAGGGTTTATTATTATGATGGTTTGCGTTTCTTGATGAATGTTTACAAATGGATTTATGTGTGATACAAGAAGGGATCTGTTTGTGTATTTCCTAGGGTTTAGGGTTTAGGGTTTAGGGTTTAGGGTTTAGGGTTTAGGGTTTAGGGTTTATGGTTTAGGTTGGTATAAACCCCCAACTCGTTGCTCCTTCGCGGGGTTTGGTGTTGTACAAGGATGTGACGGAAAAAAGTTCAAGACAAGAAGTGGTGATGTTGTTCGTCTTGTTGATTTATTAGATGAGGCTGTTGTTAGGGCAAAAGAAGAATTAATCAAAAGAGCTGCAGAAACAGGTAAATATATCATGAGGGTTTAGGGTTTAGGGTTTAGGGTTTAGTAAGGTTTTTATTTGTGGGGTGTGTAGACTGAAAAGGGTTTAGAGCGGAGAGTACTTTGATATATTAGAGGATAGGAAGATTAGGGTTTGCTGCGTAGAAGGATTAGGGTTTAGGGTTTAGGGTTTGCAGGTGGCGACTCTGCCTGCAACGGAGAGGAAATATATCGTCGTGCAGAAGTGTTTTATTTAATACATTAGAATATAGAATTTCAATTTTTAGAAATTAGGGTTTAGGGTTTAGGGTTTAGTGTTTAGGGTTTAGGGTTTAGGGTTTAGGGTTTAGGGTTTTTCAGGTGGCGATTCTGCATGCGACGGAGAGGAAATAGATCGTCGTGCAGAAGTGTTGGGATATTCTGCGGTTAAATATTTTGATTTAAAACAAAATAGAACAACTGATTATCAATTCTCTTATGATCGAATGTTAGACTCTAAAGGTAAATATGCATGCCTGCATGCATGCATCCATGCATGCATGCATACGTGCATGCATGGATGGATGCATGCATGCGTTCTTGCATACATACCTGTGTCCATGCATGGCGTTGTTGTGTGCATGCATGTGTTGTTTTTTGCATGTATGCGTCTTTGTTTGCATGCATGCGTCATTGTGTGCATGCATGCATGCCAGCATGCATGCATGCATGTATGCATGCATGGGGTGAATAAGGAGTTTGTTGGTCGGTTGATCTTTTGGGGCTTTATTTATGTTGTATTTGTTTACTGTTATTTACTGCATATTTATTATGTTTGTTATTTTCCTTTTATTTGCCTCTGCTGCTACGGCTACTGCTGCTGCTGCTGCTGCTGCTGCTGCTGCTGCAGGGAACACTGCGGTGTATCTGCTGTACGCGTATGCTCGCATCTGCGCGATCTTTAGGAAGGCAGGAGTCAACCCCGATGATATTAGCCCAAGTCTGCTGCTGCTCGTGCTGCTGCTGCTGCTGTTGTTGCTGCTGCTTCTCTTGTTGCTGCTCTTGCTGCTGCTCTTGCTGCTCATACTGTAGCTGTAGTTATGCTGCTACTGCTGCTGTTTCTGCTGCTCTTGCTGTTGCTGTTCTTGCTGTTGCACTTGCCGCTGCAATGTTTGCTGCTGTTGTTCTTGCTATTGCTCTTGCTGTTGCTGCTGCTGCTGCTGCTATTACCTTATATTTATTCCCTTTATTTATTTATTTATTTATTTATTTATTTATTTATTTATTTATTTATTTATTAGGTTCCTTACATATAACAGACCCTAACGAGAGGCAACTTGGTGTTTTGTTGCTGCAATTCCCTGATGTTGTTCTTGGTGTATTAGATGATTTACTACTACACAGGCAAGTATTAACAGCAGCAGCAGCAGCAACAGCAACAGCAGCAGCAGCAGCAACAGCAGCAACAGCAGTAGCAGAAAGTTTATTTATTTATTGTGTATACAAGTTAGCAGAATATACATATAAATTAACATGTAGTTTCTCTGATTTATATATGAATATATGCATATTTCTTACCTTAATGTATTTATTTCCTTATATTTGTATATATTTATTTATTTATTTATATTTATTTATTTATTTATATTTATTTATTTATTTATTTATTTATTTATTTGCCTACAGGTTAGCAGAATATGCATATAAATTAACATGTAGTTTCTCTGATTTATATATATGAATATATGCATATTTTTTTATTTCTTGTATTTATTTACTTATTTATATTAATAAATAAATAAATAAATAAATAAATAAATTAATTAATTAATTAATATACTTATTTGTGCCTACAGGTTAGCAGAATATACATATAAATTAACATGTAGTTTCTCTGATTTATATATATGAATATATGCATATTTTTTTTTATTTCTTGTATTTATTTAGTTATTTATATTAATTAATTAATAAATTAATAAATTAATTAATATATATATATTTATTTACCTATTTGTGCCTACAGGTTAGCAGAATATACATATAAATTAACATGTAGTTTCTCTGATTTATATATGAATATAAAAATATTAGATGAAGAAAAAGACGTAAAATATAGCCGTTTATTATTATGTAAATTAACACAAAAAATATTAAATCTTTCTTTCTTTTTTCTTGGTATTACACCATTAGAAAGGGTATAAATTATTTGCATGCATGCAGCAGCAGCAGGAGAAGGTGCAGCAGCGAAAGTTGCAGAGAAAGATTATCAATACAGACAGATAAATGCACCTGCTGCTGCTTGATAGTTAGCTAGCTAGCTAGCAACCTAGCTATCTAACTAGCTAGCTAGCTAGCTAGCTAGCTAGCTAGTAGGTTCTCCAAGTCCTTGTGGCTGTGGGGCTGCAGCAGCTGGGGGAGCAGCAGCAGCAACAGCACCAACAACAATGGGAACACCAATAGCAGCGGAAGCAGCAGCAGCAACAGCAACAGCAACAGCAGCAGCAGCAGCAGCAACAGCAGCAAGTATCTGCCTGCAGCAATGTAGGAGGCGCTTTGCTGCTGCTAGCATCTCACTGGCTTTGTCTTAATCCTCAGCAGCTCTTTGCTAGCTAGCCAGCTAGCTAGCTACCTAGCTAGCTAGCTAGCTAGCTGCATAGGAGCCTAGCTAGCTGGCTAGCTAGCTAGCTGGCTAGCTAGCTAGCTGATGAGGTTTAAGTTTTCTTATCTAAAGGGAAATAAATTTTATTGTTTTTTGCTTCGATTGCTAAAAAAAACGTCGAGAGGAATTGCTGTTGCTGCTGCTGCTGCTGCTGCTGCTGCTGCTGCTGCTGTTGCTGCTGCTGCTGCTGTTGTTATTGTTGTTGCTGCTGGTGGTGTTGTTACAAATTACTTATCTTTTGCTGTTACTGCTGCTGCTGGTACAAAGTACTGATCTGCTGTTGCTGTTGCTGCTGCTGTTGCTGCTACTGCTCTTACACGCTACTGCAGCAGCAGCAGCCCGACAAGCAGCAACCACTGCATGCATATATATGTATAGAAAATATATATAATTTATATTATGTATAATATACAATATATATAATATATATTATAGTATATAATATATATATACATATATTTATATATAATTATACAATATAAAATGCATATATAAATATTTATTTATCTATTTGGGGTGTATAGGCACCTCTTAATATCTATATTTGTTTTTCTTTCTTTTTATTTATTTATTATTTAAACCCTTTTTTATGGCATAATTAATAACTGCAGCAGCAGAAGCAGCAGCAGCAGCAGCAGCTTATGCTAGCTGGTGGACACTAGCGAACAATTGATGCTAATGCTATTGCTGCAGCTGCTTGTTGTTGGTGCTGCTGCCTCTGCTGCTGCTGCTGCTGCTGCTGTGCTGCTATTGTAACTGTTATTTCTATTGCGCTAGATGCTGCTGCTGCTGCTGCTGCTCAATGTCGTGCTGCTTAGGCTAATAAATTCTGCAGCAGCTGCTTCTGCTGCATTAACTGTTGGTGCTATTATAACTGTTGTTGTTGCTGCTGCTTGTTGTTGCTGCTCATGGTGTAACTGTTGTTGCTGCTCTAGCTGTTGCTGCTGCTGTTTGACTGTTGCTGCAGCAGCAGCAGCAGCAGCATGCCTTGCCTCGAGTATTAAGGCGTCGTTGTTGGGTCCAATAGTATTCCTTCTATTTCTTCTAAATAGAGGAATAAAAAGAATATAAATAATAATAATAAATTAAATTAAATTTATTTAATTTATTTTTTATATTCACCTTTTGTTGCGGTGTACGTACAGCTGACGGGGCTGCGGATATCTGCCGCTCGTTTCGTCATACAGCAGCAGCAGCAGCAGCAAAACCTTTTCCTTCAAGTTCCTCTTTTGATTCTTCCTTGTTTAAAGTAATTAAATACTTTCTTTTCTCCTTAATACCCCGCAGACACCCAAAAAAGACAACTAACAAGCCCATAGACCGCCCGGTGCTGCTACTGCTGCTGCGCTGCTGCGCGCCGCGCTGTTGCTGACCCAACTCATTCAGGTGTACGTACATCTCTGCAGCAGCAAATTTAACATTAAAATTAATTATTTTATCCCTGTACTAACTGCCACGCGTTCCTTCCCTCAGGCAGATGCAGCAGCAGCAACGGCAGCTGGAGCAGCAGCAGCAGCTGCTGCTGCTGCTCTAGCAGGCATGGCAACACAGCAGCAGCAACAGCAACAGCAGCAGCAGCAGCAGCACCTATTCTCCTTGGGCTTAATCCATACACACCATTATATTTCTTCTTGAGGCTTCTTGAGTCTGTGGTGTTACAGCAGTGTGTTGTCTCGTGTGTGCAACTGCTGCTGGTCCTGTAGCTCTTGTTGTTGCATTTGCTGCTGCTCCTGCTGCTGCTGCTGGTGCGCTGCAGGTCCACAGCAGGGCTGCTGCAGCACGGGCCCTTCTGAGGGCAGCCGTCGTTGAATATGTGGGGACGGATTACGGAGTCCTTCAGCAAGGTCAAGAAGAAGGCAGATGAGGTGCTGCTGCTGCTGCTGCTGCTGCTGTTGTTGTTGTTGTTGCTGCCGCTGTTGCTGCTGCTGCTGTTCCAGCTTATGGAGCCTGCTGCTAAGTGTGCTGGAGCCAGTGGCTCCCTGCACGACGCACACAGACCTTTACTCCCCTGCTGCATCCGCTGGTGCTGCTCTGCTGCTGCTGCTGCTCTAGCTGCTGCTTCTCTAGCTGCTGCTGTTGCTGTTGCAGTCCCAGTGTGCATGTTCCAAGGCAATGTGTACGAGCTGCTGCTGCTGTTGCTGCTGCTGCTGCTGCTGCTGCTACTGCTGCAGGTAGCGAATTCCGTTCAATCGAGCACCGCTCTGTTTACGCGGGCTCGCGATGTGCTGCTGACGTTTGGCGGAGGACACGAGACAGCAGCAGCAGCAGCTGCTGCTGCTGCTGCAGGCTTCGCAGGGCTGACAGCAGAGCAGCTGCTGACGCTCCTTGAGCAGCAAGCAGCAGATGTAAGATCCCTAGACGAACTGCAGCAGCTGCTGCATGTATGGACAACCTTGCTGCAGCACGATGGTAAGCATCAACAGCAACAACAGCAACAACAGCAACAACAGAAACAGCAGCAGCAGCAGCAGCAGCAGCAGTGACACAATATACACACACATGTGTATGTTTGCTGCTGCAGATGATCCAAATGCCCCTCGTTTTCCCTCTGGTGACTTAGAGCAGCAGCAGCAGCAACAGCAGGAGCAGCAGCAGCAAGATGCATCCAGCAGCAGCAGCTCAGCTGCTGCAGGCCATTCCCAACAGCAGCAGCAGCAGCAGCAGCAGCAGCGAGTGTGCAGCGACTTCGCTAAACAGGTTATAGAGGAGCAGCAAATGCTCTCCTCCTTGCAGCTGCCACAGAAACTCTTAAGCCAGGACTTCGGCTTCTCAGAGGTCAGCAGCAGCAGCAGCAGCAGCAGCAGTAGCAACGGCAGCAGCAGCAGCATCAACAGTTAGCTTAGCATAGTTTGTGTACATGCATAGTTTATATGTAGCAACAGGGAGACAGCATACCACTGAGACACATGCCGCTGTTGCTGTTGTTGCTGCTGCTTCTTGCTGCTGCTGCTGCTGCTGCTGCTGCAGGTGTTGTTTCGATCTGCAGGGCCGCAGCTGCTGCTGCGCTCCATCGCTAGGAGGCCGCAGCTGCGGGCAGTTTTTCTTGCCAAGGTGCAGCAGCATGCGCAATTTATTCAGCGGCAGCAGCAGCAGCAGCAACAACGGAAGCAGCAGCAACAGCAACAGCAGCAAGAGGAGGGCATCCCGCCACCACCACCACCGCCCCCAACGTCGCCTCCGCCGAAGCTGCAGCAGGTGCAACAGCAGCAGCAGCAACAGCAGCAGCAGCAGCAACAGCAGCACCATGGAGAGGGAGACGCAGCGTCTGAAATGCAGTTTGCTGCTGCAGCAGCAGCAACACATGAGGAAGAAATGCCTGACAAGGCAGAGATGCTGCTTCAGCTGTTGCTGTTGCTGCTGCAGCAGACGCTGCAGCTGTCCTCGCAGCAATGCTTGCGGCTGCTTGTTGCGCTGCTGCAGTCTGCTGCTGTTGTTGCAGAGACAGAAGTTGCACTGAGGAGGCTAAGGGAGCAAGCAGCACTCAAGCAGCAGCCGCGACGGCAGCAGCAGCAGCAGCAGCACGAGTCAAAGAGAGGTGACGCAGAGGAAGGTGGATCCCTGCAGCAAGAGAAGCAGCAGGAGGATGAAGGCAACACCTCTGCTGCAGCAGCAGCAGCAGCATCTGCTGCTGGTGCCGATGCATCTCTTGGTGGTTTCTTGGAGGAGGAGGAGCCTTTGCTGCAGGACATGTCTGTTGCTGCAGCACGTGGTGTATCTGCTGCTCTTGCTGCAGCAGCACTGCTGCAGCGGCGGCAGCAGCAGCAGCGGCTCAACTATCAGGTGTATAGGCTGCAGCAAGATGCTTCTGTCTTGGGAAGAAAGATAGAGAACTGTGATATGCCACTGGCAGAGGATGCAGATGTAAGCTGCTGCTGCTGCTGCTCTTGATGCTGCTGCTGCTGCTGTTGTTGCTACTGCTGTTGCTGCAGACATGGGTTGCGGTGGGGATGCTGATGGGGGTTGTGGTAGGGGTGCTGCTGCTGCTGCAGAAGGTGGTTGTGGTGCTGCAGCTACGCGACTAAGCTGATAACCAATCATCGTTGTTGCTGCTGCTGCTGTTGCTGCTGTTGCTGCTGCAGGCGGAGAAGCTTTTTGTACCGCAAAACATGCGGTTGCGGGCGAGCAGCAGGTTGCTGCAGCAGACGGTGCTGCTGCAGCAGCTGAAGCAGAAGCAGCACGAGTTGCTTCCCAAAGCTGCAGCAGAGGCACTGGAGGGTATAAAGCTGCTGCAGCAACAGCAGCAGCAGCAAGCTGCTTCCTGGCAGAAGCAGCAGGAGGCATCCGATGCCTTCTTGAACAAACTGCGTGTAAGTTGCTGGTACATTTGCTGTCGTTGCTGCTGCTGCTGCGGGTTTTTATTGTCCTGCTTTCTGCTGCTGTTGCAGCGCTTCCTGCTGCGGCTGCTGCATCTTTTTAATGAAGATGTCTCTATGGTGCTGCTGTTGCTGCTGCTGCTGCTGCAGACACACATGCAGGCATCAGCTGAGGAACTAATCTCCCGTGCTGCTGCTTTTGAATCCCGGCGTGCTGCAGCACAAAAGAAGCTGCAGCAGCTAGAGGAGAGGCGATTCTCGCTGCAGCAGCAACTGGAGAATTGTCTTGCTGAGGTTCGTGCTGCAGTTGCTGTTCGTGCTCTTGCTGTCTGCTGCTTGTACTACTGCTGCCGGCGTTGCTGATGGATGCTGCTGCTGCTTGCACGTGCTGTAATTGCTAGCCGCGAGGTGGTTGCTGTTGCATGTGCTGCTGCTACTTTTGCTGCTGCTGCTGCTGCTGCTGCAGATTGGGGAGGCTAAGGAAACTCTTAGAGCAGCGCATGAGGCGGAGGAGCAGCTGCACTTGGAGGTGCAGCAAGAACAGAGCAGCAGCAAGAAGCTGGAGAGGCAGCAGCAGCAGCAGCAGCAGCAATGGAATGTAACAAGAGACAGTTTGCTGCTCTTCCAGCAGGCAGCACTTGATGCAGCAGCAGCACATAGCGAAGCAGCAGAAGTCTCTGCTGCAGTTGCAGAGGCAGATGCAAAGGAGCTAGAAAGTAAGCCCCCCTCCTGCTGCTGCTGCTTCTGCTGCTGCTGCTGCTGCTGCATACTCTGTGGTTTGCTGCTGCTGTTGGGTTTGCAGACTCTCTGCAGACGTTGGTTTGTCGTCATTTCGCCTTCGAGAAGAATCGCGTGCAGCAGCAAGCAGCAGCACTGCGTCAGTGCATGCGTACGTTAGATAAGCAGGAGCAGCAGCAGCTGTTGCTGCAGCGGCAACGGGAGCAGGCGCAGCTGGAGGGAGACGGAGGAGATGGGCTAACAGACTATGAGCTGCAGCTGCAAGAAGAAGAAGAGCAGCAGCAGCAGCAACTGCTGCATAAACAATTCCTTAAGAGCCTGCAGCGGCTCGTTGTCGCCTTTGAGGAGTCGCAGGCATTTTTGCAGGCGCATGCAGATACACTGCAGGAGGCTCTGCAGCAGCAGCAGCTGCTGCTGCGGCATAAACAGCAGCAACATGGCAGCCAGTCGTCTTCCTCCTCCTCATCCGCTGTTGCTGCTGCTACAGCTGGGAATGCCCAAGAGCAACAGGAAGCAGCAGAAGCAGCACGTGCTGCATTGAGAGAGATTGCTGCTGTGTACATGCAGGCCCAGCAGGAAGCTCAGCCTTACGTACAAAGCATCCGTAGGTCATGACGACGAAGCCGGGCTTGCTGATACTGCTGCTGCTCCGTCTGCTTTTGCTGCTGCTCCTGTTGCAGCAGCTGCTGCTGCTGCAGTATGAAATGGCACTGTGATGCCATATAGTTTACTTATATTTGCTGTGTGCAGAGGCCGCGATGTCGGGGAAGAAGGCGCCGCTGCTGCGGGAAGCAGCAGCAACACCAGTGTCTGTGTCTGACGTTTCAGCAGCAGAAGGAGCAGAAGGAGCAGAAGCAGCAGATATCAGCAATACTGCAGTAGTGGACAAGTCGGTTGCATGGTTGGCCTCCTGCGATAACGCGGATGGTGTCCTGGCGTCGCCAGCAGCAGCAGCTGCTGCTGCTGCAGCAGCTGCAGCAGCAGCAGCTGCTGCTGCTACAAAGCCAGGCAAAGGCCTCCAGTTGTTTACTCTAGATGCAGATAGCGGCCCCCCTACACCTGAGCTAGAGGCTGCTGCTGCTCCTGCCAAGTCGCCGCAACATGTCGGCGCCGAGGTTGCGGCTGCTCTTACAGCAGCTGGTGCTGCACCTGCTGCTGCTGCTGATGAAACGCCTGCTGCACCGGTAGGCAAGCAAGAAGGTTCTATTTAGATGTTTTGCAGCATTTTGTGTATAAAAAACTAATGAATGATTTAAGAAAGAAATCGTACAGGCCAATGGCTTGAGGCCAACCATTACCAGGCTTGTTGACTGCAGCACAGTTGCTGCTATCTGCTGCTGCTGCTGCTTCTTCTAGTTTCTCAGTTGTATGTATCGATGTCGCTGCCTTCCTTGTAACGGATGCCGGCAGCAGCCTGCTAATGCTGTTATAGCGGCAAACAATACACGTACGTAGTTTTGTTCTTATAAGAGAGGAGCCTTTTTATTATTGTAGGAGAAATGGCTAACAATTCCAATGACAGTGTTGGTGACAATGTAGAGGAAGGCAGGTGCGGCAACAGGAATGAGGAGCAACAAGAAGGCATCTGGTGAACTTGAACCCTTGTCGTGTTATATAGGGAGGGGGTATTTTTGTTCTGTTTTTAATGCGTTTACTTCATCTGCATGCATTGACTGTTTCTTACTATGCTATATACTTTTAAGTGGTGTAAGTGGATGTTTTAGGGTATTTTTATCCTTGTAGTGCAGTCTCTGCAGCGAAGCAAGGAAGCCCGCATGCTCATTCACCCTCTTAAGGCAGTAGTGAGAGGCTTATAGCATCCATTGCATCCGCATCAATCATTATGCACTTTCCTTAGTCATATGTATTTGTTCTTCTTATTTGCATCAAATTAATTGGTAATTGTTGCACTTTCCTGGTAATTGTTGCCCTTTCAAAGCCCAGGAGGCCGCGAAGACCGCTGATGCAGACAGCTGCTCTTATTGCTGTGGTCTAGCTTTTTCTCCTACTCTAAGAATGCCAGCATGCCTTCAGGTAAATGTACAGCCGTCTCTGGTGTCCATATAGCGTGGCACGTTGTTGACTCCCAACGAGATGCAGTGGTTGCCAAAGAATACTTCAATTGTGTCTGGTTGCCTGACCTAGGTCTACATTGCAGTATAAGCAGTGACATCTGGGAGGTTGTCTATTGTTCGTTTCAACAATATTTAGACCACTATTATATTCATTGCTATATTCTATGGCCCTTGGTGACTACTACTATGGAATCGACGGATGCCCACTCCTGCGTACAAGCAAAACCACAATTGGTGCAAAATCGGCGCATAAACAGGGGCCTAGACAAGGTTTGCTTGCCTGTGTTCCTCTTTACCTTGAATTATTAAAGGCTCTGTGAGTATAAAATCATAAATCTACAGAAAAAAGGGAATTACAGCTTCGTGAGCGCTGACCGTGCGGGAGAGTTGGTAAACGAACGGACAGGCATAGGGATTGTCACTCAACCCGACTGCAACCCACAACACCAGCCGTTGGTAAATATCTCCTACGAAAAAAGATGCATAAATCATTAGTCTGTAGCATTTTAAACATTGATCTATTTAGATATATCCCTCTGTGGACCGACCTTTGCACGGTTGTGCCTTGGCTGCACGACAGTATGCGCCGCATTGCATCGGCGGGCGAGTGCCGATATAATTGGGGAATGCTGCATAGTCCCCATTAGAAGACTTGTTAAACACACATTATTTCTGTCACACGTGAATAATATCGGGTTTGCACCACCATTGTGTCTCATATGAAGAAGCCACCCTCTGGCTCGTTGCATGTTGCTCAATCAGCAGCAGCGGGGCTTCGGAGTGGGTTGCGGTTGCACGTGCTCGTGGGCCTGCGGGCACGCAATTGCAATCCTGGCGACACGCCTGCCAATTATACTTGTTGTTATATTGTCCCTACTGAAATAAGTAAAGCTCGCATTCTTCACTTGAATCTTTGCTCATTTCAATATTTTAGCGTCCGTTCTTCGCTTTAGACATCGGCGAAAATGTGCGTCTCTAAGCTGCTCGTTTTCCTCTGTGCCCTCCCCATTGGAATAGCAATGGGCAGCCGTCATGACACTGGCAGCTCATTAATGTTCCAGCAAGGCGAGGTACCCAATGAAAAACCTGTTCACGGCATCGGCACCGTGGTAGGCAGTTTGCGGCGCGCAGGCACATCCACCGTTGCACTGTCCACATTGGCAGTTGCTTTGGTGGTGGGCTTCCTCATCCTGCGTTGTTTTGGTTCTCTTCAGTCCTTCAAGAAGGAAAAATACGGAAGAATAAGAAGGAGGCTTTCAGTCGACCACACGGATATGTGTAGCGTAGGTCTTCGTAGAGGGAATGCGGCTTAAGCGGAATACCCCGTATGGCTTACCTGTTCCGCTATTTCAGGTTTAACAGGAAGGGCATTTGTAGCTGAATAATATGGAGGGCGGGTGGGGGCATGTATTTCAGCGCCTAGTCCGCGTCACGCCAGTTCGCGGCGGTGCATAGTAGGAGGGTTGACTAAAGAGTTAGACTCCGAATTTCCCATTGGCCACCAACAGGGGTTGATACATGTTCCAAGGATGCGCATTTTGCAATGCGCCAATGTTGTTGTGTACTTCCGCATGTGTTTGATTGGATTCTGTATATTCGGTTGCTGACGACGCCTTCCAAATGATAATTGGTTTTTTCTTGGTATCGTAGTAGATTGAACCTGCAATACATGTAACTGTGTTCGGCCGTCATTGGGTATTGAGGAGTACAGCCAGAGGAGACGAAACCGCCTCTTTCTCCCTTTGCGCGAGTTTCGCGAGTTTCGTTTAAATCCGTTGTATTGTAATGCTTCTCCGGTAGGACTCCAGAAGCATTGGAGTGAATTCGCCGGTAGGCACCACACAGAGAATGGTGATGTTTGCAAGCGAACACTTAGGCGTGGCATTGCACCTACATAAAGGATGCACTGCGGCTGGGGAGCTGGATCTCAGTATGAGCGAGTGTATCTCGAGCGTATGAGGCCCACCCGTAAATGCCATACTTGAAAAGGTTGGTGGAGTCACCTACCTTGGATCTAGCCTACCCAAAAATGCAAGCAGCTCAGCAGCTGCAGGACTGTGCACGCTAGTCGGTGTGTTGATAGTTTCCACTTGCTGTTTCAGCAGGTTAAGATGGACTAAAGCATCCTTCGCCGAGTTGCGGTGTGCAGGATATTGGCACCCTTGCACCGTACTCGGCCGGACGCTTTCCATTTACACTCCGTGAACCAGGATGTGCGTTTCATCCTTTTGAGCAGATGTTTGTAGTGAGAGCAAGCGCAGAAAGTGTTGCTGAGAAGGGCGGGTGTTTACGTGTATGGTGTAACGTGGTTTGTTGCAGTCTTACACGGCCGCATATAGCAGTGCGAAAGAATGGGTGGTGTGGCTAGGGAAGTTGAATGCTGAGTCGGCAGTGAACTGTGCATTGCTGTCGTAGAGCTTGTTTGCGGTCGTTTCCGTTCCAGGCAAGTCTTGCTCTCCGGAGGAGGAGAACACAGCTGTGTAGAGAGATTCGACGAGATTGTTCTGAGTAATGCAGCCCGTGACAGCATGCCCTAGTGGGGCATAAGTATTGCACGGCTGGTGCCTCGGTGCAAACGTTTGTCGTCGACGACAGTTGGTTGACAGGCTGCACCAATGTGTTGAGCAGGGTAATATGGACTAGTTGCGGTGTGCGTGATATTGACCATGTGCCGTACATGTCCAGTCATTCTGTATTTACACGTTGCGGCTCAGGAAGTGCGTTTGATCTGTTTCAGAAGGAGATGTTTCTTCTATGGAACCACGAGCAGACAGCATTGCTGAGAACGGCGTGCGCTTTGATGTTTGGTGCAGTGCGATTCTTTGGTTTGCACAGCCGCGTGAAAAGGAAGGTATGGCCATTAATTGTGTGATGGCCTGCCAGCCAGCAAGAGGGGTGAAAATTTGCACCAGAGGGCAGATGCTTGCTTTGCACGCAACGTGGCCCGAACAAGGAGCAAGGGCTGGTGCAACAGGGCCGATGCTAGTTGTGCAAAATGTTGGGTGGTGTGGCTCGTGGGGATGCCGAGTTGGCAGTGTGCTGCGAATTGTTGTCGTGTAGTTGGTTTCCTTTTGTTGCCGTTCCAAGCGAGGCTTGCTCTCCGGAACAGAACCCTGGTTGGCATAATCGGCTCGCTTTGTACGTAGGCGTTTCAGTTTCTGCGCTTGCTTCCCTGCAGGTTCGATTGCAATGAATTGGATGGAATGTAGCAAACAGTCTGCACACCTGGCGGGTATAGCGCGGCGTGTGTCTCACGACACCTGTTTGGTGGCAGCCTGCATCTGCATCTAGTCCATCTTACCCTGCTGTTTGAGCAGGGTAAGATGGACTAGAGGATCCTTCGTCGAGTTGCGGTGTGCAGGATATTGGTCTTGCACCGTAGTTGGCCAGCCATTCTGCGTTTGCACGTGGTGGCACAGGAAGTGTGTTTGATCCGTGTGTGAAGCATATGTTTCTTCTGTGGATGAACGAGCACAAGGCATTGTTGATAGCGGCACGTGCACCGATATTCGGTGAATGGCAGCTTTATTTCATGACTTGAGGGAAATGCAAAGCAGCATCATTATTCAATGTGGGAGAAAGCTAATTAGGTTTGCATTTGACAGGGCGCGAACAACGGTTCATAAAGGGCCGAGGAAGTATGTAAGATTATGCCAGTGAGCAACGGTTGTACAACCATTAGATGGTAAGGACTAGACCCCTTGGTTTACTATTTAGTTTTCGATTACCACATCCAGGATTACACAACTGCCACTCCCCACTAGTAATATGCATCACCTGGTGCTAGTCTGCACGAATGCGTGTGGACAGTCTATGGATCAGCTGTTGAGAGATATTGCCACTCCAGAACTCGGTTGAGCTCAGTTGGTGCGTTAGACGTTCATGCCCACCAATCAGACTGGTGACGAGTCCTTGGCCCCTGAGTGTTGGATTCCTACTCTTCATCTGTTTGTGGGGTACGGCCTGCTCCCCCAAACTGGGTAGGTGTTGCCCCGCACATAACGCCAGGAGAAAGTTTAGGGACTCAGTGGGAAAGCCAAGAGATCTGACCCAGATTTTCTAACCAAACCACTGTGAGCCGTATGGTGCTTCTCGTTGAACGTCCGCTTGGATTTTGCCTCGTCTATAGGCCAATACCAAAGTGCACGCTCGGTTTAAAGGTCTCACTTTAAACACATTGAACACCAAAAGCAATATTAACAGGATTTCCACGTAAGACTACGTTTCCCAGCGGCTTTGCGATGCTTCAGATTGTAAGCCCATGAGCCAAACCTTCATGCTTTTTCGTGCACCAAGACAGCAGTGCTGTACAAGAAGTGATCAAAAATGTGAGGCTAGAGAAATGAACTCGGGCCTGAACTGGTGGAAAGGGAGAGACGGTAAGCCTGCGGGGGTTTCTTGAAGTCACAGATAATCTAGAGACTCCTGGTGGTGTTAAGGACAGGCTAGCCATGCTGAGGGAGACGCAATAGAAGCGTCCCCCAGAGCAAGATCTCTCCTGCCGCCGAGCCTCTTCTGGATATCCTTATATGACCGTGCAGGCTTGGCCTATGAAGGGAATGTGTAAATTATCAGAGAGCCACTGCATCGCTGTTTCCTGGCAAAGCCAAATGCAGCAGTTACGATAATGAAACAGTACCTTCGCCAAATTCCAAATGATTAATGCATGTATCCCGCAGCCCGATAGTGAATCGGTATTCTTAACATCACCGTCGTTGGGTGAACTGTATTTGGCTTGTGATCCGGTGAGGATGCTTCCCACTGGAGGCTGTGTCTGCGTGCAGCCGAAATATTTAAGGAAGAAAACAGAAGCATGGACGGTCCTTAAGAGTTACGAAGGCAGAATGCCTGACACCGGCGGGGGAGTTCATATAAGGTGCAGCTCAGTTATCCATTCAGCGAAATACACAGGGACCTTATTTGGCATTGCTTCACCGTTGTCACGAGGCCATCAGGAAAAGAAGAGCGTAAGTCGTCGTAGAACGCCTTTTGCTTAGGAGCACCGGTAAAATGCTTGCGTCTGGTATGCTCTGCTGGCTTTTGCCTTAAGCTGATAACGGAGCAGAATGCTGGTTTCTGTCAAATTGGATCATGAAGCGCCCACACTAACTGCTTGCCTATTGGCCAATGCTTTCACAAAAAAGGTATTTAACGTCAGCTGCATCTTACTGTACCTGCGCATAATTTGCAACTGTGGAGACCGTTCAATTTTACAGATTCCACAGGCAGCGCGTGATGAAATGCTTTTGTGAACGTCGCCGCCTGTTTTGAGACCGAAATACTGACACGCACTTGCTCAGTGACTGGTATTACTACTCGGGCGTATGCTGCAGCTCGATTAATATGGTTACCGTTCAGCGAAGTAAACAGAAACTGCATGACTACACTACTAATTGAGGAATGCTGCGAATACACCGGAAGAACCTGACCAGATGCTGCCGTTTGGCGTTGTGTGTTAAGGTGAAGCGGGAAGCAGGAACGACGTGGTTTCCTGGGTAGCTCTGCTTGAGCATTGTGTGGCGCTTTAAACGTCAATGCCTCTAATATGCAACTACCGCGCCACGTTGCCCAATGGTAAGGTGATGATGCACAGCTGCAAACGCGGAGTGCAGCTGAAATGCAAGATGCTTGCAGAGACTGAGCTGATTGAAAGTGCTCACTGCATATCGACACATCCAGGGGAGTGCTGCGTCATCTTCAAAGTGGTTCTATATTGAATGAGTCTTTGTGGATCTGGTTGGCGGGCGGCAGAACCTGCAGCATGCTTGGAGGATGGGGTGTTAACTTCTATAGATTGTTGTAGTTACAGTGGGTCTGCTAATGTAATAGCGTTTCTTTCACTTGGGCTCTATCATGGGAATCAGAGCAGGATTTGTGGAAGGAAGCAACGGCGATGGTGGAAGGCCTGTTGAACCGCTGGACCCCAGGTGCCTCGTGAATGCTTGACTTGATGCCTGCGGAGCGCACAAGACTGTGATTGAACATCAGTCCTACTGATCTGCAGCCAGTGTGTTGGCACGCACATCAGATACCGGAACCACACTGCAAGTTAAACAAACCAATCCGAGTGCTGTAGGCAGAATATTCATCATCTAGATCGGCCTCTGTGCCTTCTATATTGGGATGGCTCAGGGGGTACGGCTTTGTGACAAACAGAGAACATACGAACACTGTATGGTGTCGCGGGATTAGTGCTTGGGCCCACAACGCCCGGTGCACTAGCCTTTCTGGAAGTTACCAGGGAACGCACCTTTGGTGAAAAGTGTTGAAAGGGGTGCTACGTTGTTTTGTGACTTAGAGTCAGATACCCGTCAGGCGATTGCTTATCATACCATCCGTAGATGGTTCCGGAGTACGTGATCTCGTAGCAGGCTTGTTGAAATGCAAACGTTATCCTACTGGCACACGGAATGACAATGGGGTTGTTTCAATCTGATGCGTGCACTTTACGGCTTTGCTGCTCGAACTATTCAACGGCATAAGAGCGGTCCACCTGTGTACAACGTGGATTGCGAGTTTGGCATTTGCACGAGCAGGCGTCAGGAGACAAAATGAACACAGAGAGTGCGTTCGGGGAAACGCCTACTATTTGTCGCTTAGTTGCAACGATTAGATAGAGTGCATGCCCCTCCATAATGACTGTTTGGCAGCAAATGGAACTGTTGGCGTGTATATTCAGCACTTACAATCGACAGCATGTTGCAACCAGAAAATCCGTTTTCAATTCTAAGAACTGACTTTAGAAGGAATTGCAAAGTTCGCTGCCATCTATCGCTGGAGAATTCCCCTAAACACCCAGCTAGTACGATTCCTTTGGTCTTGCACTTAAGAAGCTGACGTCGTCTTACTTGAGCCTATATCGACATACGGGAACCAAGATGCGGTGGGATACCGTCTATGCATCGTTTTACGTGAGCCTGCATCTTGGTGACCAATGTTTTGCCTCCGCAGAGCTCCTTTTCTGCTGGGGAGGAGTGACCAGCTAAGTGTAGTCATCAGTCCACTACATGCGAGGAAAGAGGCGCCACCCCTGAATGTGTTGACAGTAATGCAGCACATGATTATCTATGGTCAGGTTTGCATGGATCAGTGCATTATCACGAGGTAGAAGAGTCCATTCTCCCAACTTTACCAGAGAGTGCGCTAAGCAAAGAAGCACGTTTTTTTGCTCACACGATAACTCGCTATTTTACAGCTGATATTTTTTGCGCTTCCGGGGTGCTCTGAAATTCCAGCAAAATGAGAGCCGGAGCAGCTCGGTAGGCCAGTCAGTGTCTCTCCTACATAGTATGTAGAGGTTGGCGTTGGGAGTAAGGGGTGCCTAGTTGACCTGCGTGAGAGATGACGCCGTGCGCAATATATATTTTCTACGAACTATCGGAATTGCCTGCAATTGATACATTCACGGGGAAATGATGGTATCGACAAGCAGCTACATTTTGGAGAATTCGCCCCCCCCAACTGGAGTTGGTTGCCGAAGTTGTCAAAGGTTCAGAGAGTGCGCCTTCTTTTTATTTGCCAGACCCGTTTCTTTTGCTCTGTCTACGTATTTGGGTGTGACACGTTTGCTCCGTGGAACGCGCTGCAACATGTTGGATATTGGTAGTGCAGGGGCGAACATTCTGCCGAGGGTCTACTTGTCGGTTTAGAGCTTGCTGGCAAGCGGTGGCGAGAATACAAAGTGCAACAATGTGCAAGGAAGAGTTTGGCTACCAGTTCATATGAATGAATATGCTCGTGGTGTTGTGGCATCTGTCATGCTATGAGGCTCAAGCACAAAGTATGCCGACCTGGATAGTGATACTGTCTGAATTGCATGCATCATTTCATTAATGATGCGAGTCACCGTTTAAATGAGTCTATTCTAGGCTGTGAGGATCCTCAAGGATGTGCTTGCATCCACATCGCACTTTCGTGAATATCGGTAGATAAGGCATGATTTCCTAGAATCATAGAGGCGCACTCATAAAATACGACTTTTTTGATGCATAAAGGATCAAGCGTGCGTATGGTTTATTTAACCGAATTGTTTTCGACGGCGCTGCTGCATTAAAGGAGGAGAGGCAAGTTGTTCTGCATATATATTGTTGTTTCCTGGCGACATTTTTGCGTCACTGTAGTATGTAGAGTATAGCGTTGTAACAGGATAATGGCAAACATTTACCCCTACAAAAGTAATGTAGGTGAGCATCGAATTCATCTGCACATCCATTCAAATCCGCAAGCATGCACATGGCTTTGGGCTGAAATCAGTTCGTAGGTCCGGCAGAGCAAGTCAACCTGATGTACCAGCGGCTTGGCTGCTCATAGAGATCGCCTTCACCCTTGTAGTGCTCATGCATGCTTTTCATGGGCCTCGACAGTAGTCACAAAGTTGCAGAGATAAGCATAGAGGTGAACTGATTCCTTCCATCGCCTCCCTTTCTTGGAAACACCCACCCACTCACACCCACGCCCAACCAACGACAGGCACACTCACACCCACCAACAGTCACGCCCACGCCCACCCCCACAAACCCACCCATACCCAACTACCCACACCCATCTACTTACTCTGGTCGTTATCATCAACTTAATTTGGCTGTTTACAGGTAATCGCTTCACTAGCAAAGCCCATCTTCGTCGGGGAAGTCAAATATTGCCTTTAATATAAATACCTTGTTTAGGCGGCGAAACACTTATATTGAAGCGGGGTTTGGCATCATCGTTTCAGGTCGTGCGTTCCTCTCTGTAGACTACTGTGCTGTTGCAATGCAAATAAAGGTAGCTGGAGATGTAAGGTGCTGCAAATAATTGCAGCAGTTTACATCTCCAGCTATCATGAACTTAGGAAATGGTAAAATTCGTAGTCAAGCGTATAATGTAATTTCGATGCCCTGCGTTTCTTGCTTACATGAGATCCTACTGAGCAAATTTCATGTACTCGAACACAGGCTGTGCGTGTAGTTGGCTTGAGCCACAGACAGCTCCTCGATATGGTTTGTTAAATGAGAGGCGAGTAAAGTGAACTTCGCTTGCCGATTCGCAGGAAGCTCATACGGGCCGATCCATCCTCTCTGTAATCCACGATTTGGCAGCTTAAAGGTGTCCTCATCACTCCGCATCGCCTTGAGAGACATCGGCAGTTGACTTTCTCCCCACGCGAGTTGTGCTGTACTTCAGTTACAGAAGCGCCAATCTTGCGTGGTGCACAAGTCATCCGTCGCAACCTGGAAAATCTGCGATAGAAGCACCACATCGCGTGCCCCACAAAGGGCTTGCCACTATTTGTGGCTACAGGGAACAGAAAAAGTGGTGCGTCTATGGTGAAGCATGAGGTTCTCTGAAGGGTAGACGTGGACCGTCTACGTTGTGTTTCTGTTAAATATAAATCACGTCAGGGTGTACGTCGGCTGTTCTGCTTGCAACCAAAGAAACGTCAGAGTACCTATGGAATGCCACGTTTCGCAAGAACAAACAAGGCAGTGATTGCATTCCTGCCCGTACTACTCTGGCATCAAAGATTGTGGGTTACTTCAGTTACAGAAGCGCCAATCTTGCGTGGTCCACAAGTCATCCGTCGCAACCTGGAAAATCTGCGATAGAAGCACCATATCGCGTGCCCCACAAAGGGCTTGCCACTGTTTGCGGCTACAGGGAACAGAAAAAGCGGTGCGTCTATGGTGAAGCATGAGGTTCCCTGAAGGGTAGACGTGGACCGTCTACGTTGTGTTTCTGTTAAATATAAATCACGTCAGGGTGTACGTCGGCTGTTCTGCTTGCAACCAAAGAAACGTCAGAGTACCTATGGAATGCCACGTTTCGCAAGAACAAACAAGGCAGTGATTGCATTCCTGCCCGTACTACTCTGGCATCAAAGATTGTGGGTTAAGCGTCGGTAGATTGCACCGACAGGATATGCCAGTAGAGCTTTTTCAACCCCAACGTGGCAGACAAATTTCAACGTTGTCACCATACATTGGCAGTAGCATAACAAGCGGAAACAATTCCAAGGCCCTGGCCTTGGAACTGCTGAGGAGCTATGCATAATCCTTTGAATTCGTGTTCCGCCTAAATCCGCCGCTCCTCCTCCTAAGTACATTCACAGGGAGTGCGTCATTAGACACAAATAATTCCAATATATAACCTCTGGCGAGGACCTAGGATTTGCAATGAATGGAAGCTTGCATGCTGTCAAAATCTTCTTGAATGCCGCGGAATGAAGAATTTAATTTTACAATGTTCTCCCTAGTAAATTGATGTTATGTGGTCACACTCTAGGCTCCACGCGAGGTCGTCAAGCAAGAAGCCGCGGGTTTTGTACAGCTGCAACCATTAGTCAGCGGAAGTAGGCGGACCAAATGTTGTGCTGCTTGTTCGCACGGCAAGAGTGTACCTGAATGCAATCCGGCAAATCCCGTGGCAGTACATTCGTGCCGCGAACAAGTGCATGGCGCGCTCAAGGGGGTAAGCCATCCGCAAATCGTGGAGACACAGTGAATGCTCGCCTCCGCAGTTTCAGCCCAAAGAATGTTCGGATATCCGCATGCCTGATGCGTCGTTGGTGCAATAATCCGTCGACTGCCTTACCTTTACCTAACACGAGCAGCCCCTGGCTCGTGCCTGCCACAAGCTCAAGAAGCTCGACCGGAGCATATGGGGCGTAGGGTTGTCAACAGTTTGCTGGGGCGCAGGAGCATATGCTTAATAAGCTTGTGCGTGGAAGACTTCCACTAGCATGTTTTGTGTAGGATGTGACTTAGACGTAAATAAGGTATACATCCAGTGGAAGTGTGCTTATTGGAGGTCATCTTCCAAAATGAGTGTAGCGCAGAGAATAGAGGGTCACACACTAGCTTGCGGCGGATTCCATATTGGCTTGCGGCGGATTCCATATTGGCTTGCGGCGGATCTTAGATTGTGAGGCTTGTTGGCATCAATTTTTAGAAACTAATAGGTATTTGACTGTATTTGGTGAATCTGAAATTCGCCTTACATGATTTTAAGTGACTTACGCTCATTCACAGTGGACTGCTGAGCGAAAGCATCCATCCCACGGTGCTTAGGGAGTGAGTTATAAGCCTCTACACCAGCACATCCGACTGTTGGGCTAAGCGGTGCGCTCCTAGATGAGGTTGGCCTCGGCATAACGTGCTTCTAACAGCACTGCAATGCACTGAGCTGCTCTATTAGTCCCAAGTAGGTGGCCTGTGGCGCGAGAAAGCCTTTGTCAGTGGACCCGTCTTGCACTTTTGCACATTGTGCATGCAGGCAGTACGAAATGAGAAAGGTCGCCTGATACAGCAAAGAAGCTTTGACCCCACAAGGCCCGGATGTGGCCATAAAGGCATTGCAGGTAGTACTTTGGATGCTCGAGAATTATCGTATTGCGATGCTCACGAAAGCTGGGGTTTGGCATTACTCGGTGCTGCTTGCTTTTCACTTCATGATGTTTAGTGAAGCAATGTGTCTCTACCCAGAAACAGACTAGCATTGATTTTCTAGAATGCGCACACGCTTGCGTGTGCTACACCCTACACGGCTCTCAGGCATACCCTTCACGGCTCTCAGGCATTTGGCGGGAGGGGGTGCCAGACGGATCGCACGGTATTGTCAAGGTGACTGTCAAGGCTTCTCCTTCCCTGAAGCGTAGTGCAGGTCGTTTGCAAAACCCTTTGATCGCAGGGTTGCTTGTGATTCGTGCAAAAGGGGGAGGGTTGTCTACGTTGAACAGGGAAGGAGGGGGCGTCATGGCCTCATCCCATTTTTGGGGTCTCAGCCTTTCGAGTCTCCTCCACTCGCCGTGACGTCGTTTATTCTCGTCAATTGAGCCAACTTCCGGCGACATGGGTCGTTTATAACTGGCACTTTGAAGATCGCCTTCTGCTGCCGATGGTTCAGCATATGGTGGTGGATTGGAAAGTACGCAGGCAACCCGCTTGGTATGTTGTCCTTTGTTTCTGTTGAGAGCTACAGCCAGCTGCTTCAAGACGTGTCGCGGTGGGGGAATGCATGATTCCGAAGCCGAAAAATAAGCTAAGAGCAGGGCTATGTCGGGCCTGGCAACTTCCTTGCACTGCATGGTATAAAATGTCCCACTGTGCTCCATGCAATCACATCTAATGCTCCAACGGCCGGGCGTTCCTGTTGGCTGTGCATGTAGTCAGTACGGTAGCCCAAAGACACACTTCCATTCCAACGGTAACGTCCTTTGCCCTCATCAGTCCTGTCCAAAAGTTAATTAACCCGACAGGCAGTCTTACCATCCTTTGCCAGCGGGTGATACCTTTGGTAGCGTTGCTCCAGAAAGCAAATTCGTGCGACACTTTGGGTAGCAGTTCGTGTGTCCCACATGCCTGCTGGCCGACCACTCGCATGAACGTCAGGCTGCGTGCTCACCGCTGCTGCGTCCAAGATATCCTGCGACAGACATGGGAGCCACAGACAACCTGGTTGTGATACACTGGTTCACGCAAAGCAATTTGACGTATTAGCGCAGATATGCCTCACGTATACAATTAGGCCGTTTGGGGCTTATGTTCAATATCACTGTGTGGCTTTCAATGCTCGACCACTTGAAAGGGAGTGAGGTTGGCTATAGCTGTATAAACATGAATCCAATTCGTTAGGGGATAGAGCCGTGTGCATCGCATGCCGAATTCGGCAGCAAGATCGGAGCGGCGTCTTGAGGTGTGCATGCTGACACTTTCGTTTGCTTGGTATTAGCAAGGGCAGTTCGGTAGGAGCCACTGAATCTGTAAACCCTTTGTGCCTGGAGTTGGATATTGAAGCTCCAAAACGCAAGAAGGCCGGTACGTGGGAGACTTTGTGCTGTCCACTGAAAGGACCACTTCAGATGAGCCGACCTACAGTCTCATGTCTTCTCACTATTTCAGTGGGTGCACAGTAAGGTAGTTTACACGCCCATGCCAAACTCCTCCACGAAGCGTTGTGATCAACGCTTCTCAACGTGGTGCATTATATGATGCCGCATTTTTACGCTAATAACTTGGTACTTCAAGAGTGGGGATGTCTCGTCTGGTTCCCGTTGTTGCCCAAACAGGCAGTACGGAGCCGCCATGTGTAGCTTCATAAACGGGGGCAGTCTTATCTGTTCACAGACGGGATGCGCACAACGGCGCCGATGCCCATTTTTCTTAGTGCACGACATAGCAAATTAGCAGCAGGCCTGCGAGACCTACCAGCAAGGATAGTGGGGGCGCTGCTTCAAGATCGTTGATTCCTTAAGCTCTGTGTTGTTGAGTGGGGTTTCGTTTTGAGCAGGCACTTGAGAGGGTTAGTGCGGCCTTATGTATTTGCATATGTCTGAGGACCAGCATGCAGCGTTCGAAGACGAAATACGAGACTTCGCTTAGAAGTGCGTTTGGTGGCATACCTGTACAAACATCCAACGGGGTGGGCCAAGCCCTTTGGAGACGCTCTTACGTGAAGGTGCCGCATGATTGCAAAGCCAAGGCGAAGTCATTCACACTTGGTGTACTGTCATTAAGGTGCCCTGCTGCTGCGGTAAGTGGCAAGTTTTTTGAAACGTAATTCTGTGGCGGCGGTGTGTTGTTCCTGTTGTGCCTTAAGGGAGTGCGCCATGGCTAATGCTTTCAACAGCATTTTCTCAAGAACGGTAGCATTTTTGCAGCGATCGCTTAGGATTGCCAAACCGCATCCGGGCACTCCTCCTGCCACCGATTTGCCACCAGCACGCCCTTGTTTTTAGGATGGGTAGGGTTGCCAGGGACTTCACGAGGACCAGTTCGTGTGTCCCACTGACTTGCTGATTTGCCACACTGTATGAATTCCAGAAGTGTACTGCAGACGATTTGTGGGAATTTCATCTGCGAAAGCCAAGGGAGAGTGGACAAGAGTTGTTGGTGCCCAGTGTAGGAACAGCGACGTAGATAGGTGCGCCCTAGTTATTTAGGTAGGTAGTTGCGCCTATCGCTCAACCTTACGACTAGGTTGGTCCAGCGGAGGTCAGCTGCCACTGTCTAGACAACAACACCCGATCACACCACAGGTGGTGAGACTGATATCAGGCGTAACGCATTTGCACTAAAGTCTCTTGTTACTTCTGTCCTCCCTCGCGCTGAATAGCGTTTGGACCACCTTTGAGCGGATTCCCCAGCAAGGGCAACTAAGCTAGCATTTTTCGGCGTTTATGCAAGCACAGGGTTTTCTGTTGCCGTAGCGAGCGCCGTCCAGTGGGGACAGGCCGGTTGGTCGCTGAGTGTACATTTGCATTTGGTCGAGCTGCAGAACACAGGAAGGTACATGTGGTGAAGCCATAATGCTGAGGAATGCCAGCTCTGCTGCAAACTACACGAGTTGTCTGCCAAGTGTGCCTGGCACA